GATCCAGACACAGAAAAGAATAAATGATGCTGTTCCTACAATAAATATATCAGCACTGAGGATTGATGAAAACTCTGTGTGTCAGCCAGGCTGGAAATGGTCAGAGCTTTCACTGGCTCAAATCTTCAGATCACAGAACATTAAAAATTAGTTTCTCAACCAAATCACTACACAGACCACTAATAGAACATTTTTAATGAAAATTTATGATTTAAAAATGAGGTGGCACCAAAGGGTTCTTTGGTATTTGTGTTGTAGAAGAGAGGTCAAGAATAATCAGATAAAGGATAAACAATGCAGAGGAAATGAAGTGCTGGTTTGATGTGCCAATGTTACAATATTTGAGTATTAAAAACTGATAAAATGCCCCCATTTTCCTTTTTGGTGAAGGAATTGCTGTAGATGTCTGCCCAGCCCAGACCCAGCATGGCACGAGCTGTTCCAAGCGGCTTAGGACAATGGAAGGTAAAATTCAACATTCAGAGAGAAATTATCTGAAAATAAATTGAGGGAAGATGGCAAAAAACTGTGGAAAGAGCAATAGTTGCCCAGATAGGGAAGCATAATGATCTGCTTTAATTGATTTCTCTAATTTTTATTTATGTAAATTAGGGAACACATGTGAAACTCTTCCTTAGCTCATTACTATCCTAAAGCCAAATGTATTTCACAGCTGAACTACAGCAGAATATTGCACTTCAGTACAGCCTGCAGCAATCACGTCAAAGAGGGAAAACTTGCTGTTAATAACTACAAATTTTGACCATTTAGGAGAGAATGAACAACAGACCCTTGATCAGGAACATGAGCTGATCACATTTATATTACTGTAACTAAAAATATTTCTGCCCTGAGGAAATGTGCTGAGCCTTCAGTGCTGAACTTAAAACAACCTCAAAACCTACATAAATACATGTTCTACAATGTTTGCTCTTCACATCTTAGTGAGTTCCCATTTGTTGATGTCTGTTCAGCACAAAAATGTTTCTTACAAACCCAACAGCAAGAAACAAGTTTAGGTTACACTCAGAGTGGAACAGTCTATCAAAAGAATGATGAAGCCAAAATTTAAGTTAATTGCTTGCTTAATTTAAAGCAGGCTGTCTCAAAAGAGGAACTTTCATGCTGTGGCAGATTGAAAAAGGTTTCAATTATTCTGTTTTTCACATTGCTCCTGCAGTATTGCTCCTGCAGTATTTCCAGGTGCACATCAGAGGAAAGCTGTCAGTGCTACAGACAGCTTGCTGGCCTGCTTGACAATGCAAGAAAACAAAACAAAGCCAAAACTTCCTGGAATAATCCTCCCATCGTGTTTGCACTGCCACTGACATGATCAACAGCAAAAGCAAAACAGCAGAATGAGAACTCCTGCTTCACAAGCACAATATTTAAAATACTTCATGTTTCTATAAATCAACAACAAACCACAAATATGAAAAGGCAAAATGCTTTCTAGGAACAGGAACAAAAATTGTGCAGAATCCCAGAATCACGGAGGTTGGCAAAGAGCTCCCAGACCACCGAGTCCAACCTGTGACCAATCCCCACCTTGTCACCAGCTCAGAAACTGAGCCCACAGCCAGTTAGTGCTTGGACACCTCCAGGGATGGAGGAGACTCCAAATGCCCCTGGGCAGCCCCTCCCAATGCCTGACCACCCTTCCTGTGAATAAATCCTTCCTGAATCCCATCCCTAGGAGAACATAATCCAGCTGAAGTCTTTCAAGCTCATTTTCCAACCCACACATGGCCAAAAACACAGAATTTCCCACTGCTACTCCATGACCCCAAACGCTCTTCTCTAAAAAACTTATTTTCAATCAGAATTCTGTCTCCTCTCCATGAACTAACACATGGCTGGCTGCAAACCTCAGCAGTCTTTCTGAGCTTCTGTTTGCTGGAATATTCAGCAGCCACATTAAAATGCACCCATTGAGAAAGACAAACTACTTAGGATGTGGACTGTCCCTGGCTGAGCATTTGTGTGGTAATAATGCAATTGCACCTGACCCTCTGCCACATTCAGGGCATTAAAATCACACCAAAATTTAATTTGCTGTCTTTTGCAAATTCATCAGGATCCCATAAATAAGGAGGTGGAAAAATATTATATTGTAAAATGTTTTAGGAAAATAAATTGAAATAATTCTCTTCAATTCTAAAGAGCTCATTTAAATGTCTCTATGTAATGCTGAAGCTGAACACTACAGCAGAAACAGACATCAAAATCTGAAAACCAAAGTGATAACACTCAAGTGAAGACAGGATCTAAGCAAGTCCAATGAAAAGAAGGTATTAATGGTCCAAAATCAGATCATTTCACTAGTTTAAATTATAATAAAAAATAAATTAAAATATTAAATTGTTTTGTTTGAGGACATCTAAAAAATAAAACAAGGACACTTTTTAAATGAAGTTTTAAAAATATATAATATATAAAAACATGCTATGTTTGCTGCAATACTTAAAACTTCATAACAACCAAGAACTTTTGTTTAATTAAAGAACTCTAATGCAAATATTGCTAGAATTGCAGTTTTTTATAGTAGAAACATCATTTGAGTGCAGTGTGTGACTGTTGCGGGCCTTCCTCTTCCCCTTGGGATCAAAGGCCAGAAGAATTTCAGACAACTCTGGAAATAACAAAACCCCCAGCTCTGAATTCTGCCTGAGATCAAGTTTGTGTCTAGTGGGAGATTTTACAACACTCTTGAAAGCAGAGTAGAAAAGGCTTTTTTTAATGGAAACACCGAAGGACCAAGAACCCCAGTCATGCTAAGAGCTGTCACTGCAGTGTTCTTTCCTTCATGTCCTACTGAAAATTCCACTTTATTCTCCATTTGTCATTCTTCTCTGTAAAGACAGCCACTTCATTATAGAAATTAGGCTTTTTTTCTGCAGCCTGTCTTCTTGTTTCAGACTTTTGGTTTTAATTCCTCGTGTTCTCAGTAATTTTGATCACTAATTTGGCTTTCCAGCTTTAACTGGTGACATTTTAGACAGAAGCTTCAGAAAGCTAAACTGAAAAAACATTGATTCATTGATAAGTGGCTTAACTTTATCATGGAAGTTTTATTTTTCAAGAGTATTATCCCAAGAGTATCAACTAATTAATTTTGAACACAAGTGTAATGAATGATGGCTAAAAATCCCCATTACTTAAACTTATTAGTGCACAAACAGCTTGTTTCAAGCCATGTAAAATCAGAAGATTTCCCAGAGATTTTGCCCAAGAACATAGACAAAACCACTGGAAACAGCAGGCTTTAAAGAGGAAGTGTAGGTTCTCTGATACAGACAAAAGTCAAATTTGGACATATTTAGATTCCTAAAAAGTGTCACTTCTGGGGCATTTAAAACCAAACAGAGCTGCTCTACTGCTTTTACTCTTGGTTGTGTGCATGAATGGCATCTGCAGGGGAAACAAGAGTGAATCAGAACTTCAGCTGGCTCTGTTCAGATCAGTCCTCAGCAGCAGAACTGCTCCTGGCTCACAGAATTACAGTGTTAGAAGGAATTCCAGGCAGAGGGAAGGAAAATGAAGAGGAAAGGAAATCCAAACCCCTGGAGATGAGCTGCCAGGCCAGGGTGGATCTGTGGCTAGGGCAGGGCATCCTGCCCAGCCTGAGCCCCCAGCTGGGAGACAGGAGAAAGTCAGCACTGTGCAAGCTGCAAAAGCTAAGCTGGATCACTGCACCATCTAAATGCAGCCCCAATTATTTTCTGTACACCAACAGAAATCTGTAATGAACCTCTAAATAATTCCTGAACTAGGAACCTGAGCTGTCCTGCATGAGACTGGGGAAATGCCATTCCATTACCACCTAAGCACTGCTTTGGATGTGATGGGTGGCAAAAACCTACAAAATTTAATATTAATGTTTTGGGGCGCAGAGGAAAAATCATGGATGTCTGCTCACCTTCATCAGGAAACGCTGTGTGTGTCTGCAAGGCTCAACTTGCAGAAACAAAACTTATTTATTGCTAATCTTTAAAAGGCATCAGTCTTTGACATCCACTTTCTCAGAGGTTTAATTTCAAAAAGCATCAGCTCACATCAACTTTCACAAAAATACCACAGGATCCATCATTGCCCTAACTGCTATGTAAAAGCCATGTTCAGGAGAGTCAAATGTGCTGTAAGGCAAGAGCAAATACCCATCAGAAATGCCATGAAAGAGAGAAGGAAAGGCCAGCTAATGAGTACACAACATGCAGCTGCAGCAGAAGTGACAGGGAGAAGGTGGGGAAGGGAGAGGAACAACAAAAAGCCTCATCCTAATTAAGCAAACATATGACAAAGGAAAAAACCTGCACTGGCTGGGTGTGGTTATTTCGTGATTAAATGCTAAATAATGAGAAGTATTTGGCAGAAATACAGGCTGTGTGAGAATACAGCATTTACAGTTATCCTACAGCAGCTTTCAGTTTCTCAAGGTTAGCAGGTTTATTAAATCAGTGATTTTATATAGGTGGATTTTTCTTTTTTGTAATTCAGTATTATATAAGACAGAATTGTCTTGTCCTAATACAGAGATAAAGCCAAAGGTCCTCCTGAACATGCATTGTATGAAAATGCAAACCAGGGACTTTGGGTTATGAAAAGAAGCCATATGACTAAAAAGTGAATCCATTTTCCAAAACGCCCACACAGACAAGAGCTTCTGATGAGAAAAATGATCTCTGCAAAGCTAAATTGCACAGATTATTTCCATGAAAAGTTAGAATCTTGCAGATTATACGATATTTACTGCGCTGGGATTTAAAAACAAAATCCACCAACTTTTTATATTATTGCAGTATGAGTAATTACTTGATTGTTCAATGTAAATTATATTAAAAATAATTAATGGAATAATTGCCTTCTTTTAGAATTCACAAAGGCAATGGTGCTTGCTTGGTTTTTCCAGGATTGTTTCTCTCTTGCTGCTGGTGAGTTTTGGGTACCTTTAGAATGAGGTGCCACCACCTGTGTGTGCCAGCAGAGCAGCTGGGGCTTACCTTGGCACTGGAATCCTTGCTTCCCAAATCCCCTGTGAAAAGAAGGAAAGAAAGAACTGCCTTAGTATGTTTGGTTTTAATTTCTACTCAGTGATCTCTAAAAACATAAAAATAGCTTCATATTAAATTACTTCAGGTTTTGCTACGACAGCAACAGATTTTCAAATACACAACACAGACCAGCCCACCCATTTCAAAGCAGAGAACAATAGCTGTCACCAGCTATGTAATTTCAGCTTCTGGCAACAATTTTTTTATTATTATTATTTTACAAGCTATTTTGGATCTACAATTATCATCATCTGTGATTGCTGCATAATATTTCAACTCGTTGAATGCCACATGTATATTTAACAGCCACGTGAAATATTCCAAGTTCCAGCAAAGGCACGTAAAACAAACCAGACTTGGGGTTTCATCCAGATTTTGGGATTACAAACTGCTGCTGTGAGGCTCAGCTGGAGTCCAGCCGTTTGCTGCATGGAAAACAAGCAGGTGAAAAGTTTTGCTTGTTTCAACAGAAATGAGAAGACAGGCCCCTGATTTTCATAGTGATTATTCTCCAGCTTCCTTGCTCCATTTCCATAACGAAATACAAATGTGTGTGTAGCACTTGTGCAATGAATACAATGACATCCAACGCATTTTGTACCTCTGGCCAACTCCACTGCTGTGGATTTATTTGTTTATCTTTAAGCATCTAACATTCTCTTCCCACAAAAATAACTGTTTTGAGTATCCTGCCTCTAAACATTTCTGTGCCTTTTTCTTTGCAGCCTGTTTTTCATCTGGAGAGTTGGAGCTGCTCACACTCAAACAGACAAAAGCCACGAACTGGAGAAGCTGTGTGCAATTAACACCATGGAGCTTAGTTATCAATTTTATGGATATGGTTTCTTAAAAAAAAAAAAAGTATCAACAATTTCTCCACTTTTTATTTATTTACTTATGGAAGAGACAAAACCTTCAGTGCACTGTTCCTTCAGGAAAAAGCTGAAATGACACAGCTTAGAGCATTTCTCTGCGTTTCTCTGCACAAGTTGCTACTTCTTGTTATTATAAGCAAACCTGAACTAGGAAAACCAGGAGAAAAAAGAAATTATTGTTTACTTGGCAGCACATGTGCCTATATTGTCATTCTGATGCTTTTACCACTCATCTTCACAAAACTCAAAAGCTGGAAGCGTGGAAATGCAATCACATGAAAGCCGATGGCAGGACCAAGAACATGAAACAGACTTGAGATAATTTTTAATCCTTTGAAATAGACTTATTTGCAAATATTCCTGTTTTATCTACTCCAGAAGCACGGCTGTAGCTCAGTGTCTGAGCTGAACCCCTGCAGAGCCGCAGCCCACTCCACTCCTAGAGCAGTTTCAATGTAATTTTTAAGTACAAGTCTTTTAAAAAATTTCAACAGTCCAGAACCAAAGCGGAGAGGTGAAAGTTGCTGAATGAAGAGGAAAAGGAGGCACTAAACTATTTTGTAAATATTACCTGAGGAAACGTAATCCAAGGAAAATAATCTATTCGTAAATTTCATTGAAAGCCTGTGTTTACTGTTCTTTATACCTTCAAACATTGTTAATTGACACAAGTCAATTTGGAAGCACTCAATGGTGCGCGATGGTTGGTTGAGAGCGGCCCATCTCCAAACCAGAAAACCAAACAAGTTTTCGAGGTGTCAAGATGCTCCTGTAAGGAATGTGAGGAGCTTCCCCCGGCTCAGCAAGCACGACAAGACAAGAGCACAGTGCTCTTGCCACCTGTCAGCCACAGGATACCCTTTCAATTCCTGTCATTGGTGACAGAGCTCTGCTTTGTTTTATAATTGTGCTGCTGGCGTGCACAAACGCCGCTCGCAATAACCCTGCAGCGGTTTTTCACACCTCCCAACCCATTCTGGTTTAGATTAACTTTGAAGCAGTTTTTGAAAGTCTCTCACTTTTACCACACCCAACTTCACTTTTTAATTTTTTTTCCCCCCAAAAAAATTCAAAAGAGAGGAAAACTCAGAAATTTGACTTGTTTCTTGTGCTGTCTACCATGTCAGCTTTCCTTCCTCACTCTGTGAATATCAATCATTTCTGGCACAAGCACGGTCTTTGCTTCAGCATGCAAGCAGAGGAAAACTGACAGAGGAAGGAAAAGGTCCGTGTCCAGACACATAAACACACATAAAGAGAGCAAGAAGCGTGCCACGGACACAGCCAGCTGCGTGCAGACCCTTTCACAACTTCGGCCAAAATAAATCACAGCTCTCGCTTTCACCACCCAGAGCCGCAGTGCAAACTTGAGCAGCGGAGCAGGGCTGGAGGGAGGTGAAGGAGGGGAATCCCGAGCTGTCTGTGCAGGTCCAGGACCGCCGAGGCTCCCGCGGTTCCTGCCGAGCCCGGGCCGCCGCTCCTCGCTCGGAACGGGGAACGGGCGCGGAACGGAACGGAACGGCCCGGCCTGCGCGGAGCTGCCGCCCTGCCCCGGCCCCGCACCAACCCATGGGTGTACTTTTCCCCACCAGCTCAGCAATGAGGGTGTTGGTAGGGAGTTTTCCTGCCCTCTCGCGCAGGAACACTTCTCTCACAAAAACCACCCCTCCCTTTCCTCGGCGTGGAGCGGAGCAGCGGTGTCACGGTGCCTGCCCGGCCTCGCTGCCCGCCCTGGGCAGCAGGAGGGAGCAGGGCAGGCACTGACCAGGAGTTAATGCTGGGGGACCCGAGTTCAACGCCCCAGTGTGGCACGGGCACCCTCCGTCCCAGCGCGGCTGTGCCCGGCTGAGCCCCCAGCCCAGCCGAGCAGAACCCCGAGACAAGGGGTGAGAAACACAGCTCTGGACCGTGTGGGAAGCGATAACCCCAGTGCGGGGCTCCAGACCCTGCTGGGCTCTGCGATAACCCGAGCGCCGGCAAGTTTGGGGGCTCCCGCCGCCCCGAAAGCGGGGTGCGCTCAGCCCGGGGCTCCCCGAGCGGCGGCAGCCGCACACAGCCCGCCGGGACGGGGATGCGCCAGCGCCGGGGCAGCGAGGTGACACGGGGGGTCACCCCCAGCGGGGTCACCTGCCCGGCCCCGGCCAGAGCGGCGGCACCGCGACCCGGCTGCCCGGGGACGCGGCGGCTGGGCGGGGAAGGGAAGGCAGGGCAGGGACGGCGGCTCACCGGAGCCGGGGCTGCCCGAGGCGGGGAATCCCCCGCGGCGGAGCGGGCCCGGGCGGCGGCGGGCGCGGGGGGAACGCGCGCCCCGGGCTCTCACCAGATGAAGTCGGTGCAGTGGCTGCAGAAGGTGGGCTGCTTGAAGAAGCGCGCGATGAATTTGTGCTCCTTCACCTCGTGCACGTTCTTCTGCCTCAGGGCGCCCTTACGAGCGAAGCGCCGCGCCGCCTCCGGGTCGGCGCCGGGCTCGGAGCCCGGGAACACGTCGGCCATAGCGCCTCCTCCCCACCCCCCGCCGCTCCGGGAGTCGCCGCCCCGACGTCCGCCCCGTCCGGCGGCCGCCGAGCCTCTGGCAACGGCGGCGCTGGGCGCTGCCTCCCGCTCCCAGCCTGACGTCGGAGCGGAGGAGGATCCCGAGCCCTCTCGCCGGCTGCTCCGCCCGCGGCTGAGCGAGCGAGCCCCCGGCCGGGGCGGGGCGGGCGCGGGGCCGCCCCCGCCGGGGAGCGCCGGGGGAGAACGGGGGGGCGGCCGCACCTGCTGGCCCTCGTCAGCTCCCGCAGCGCGCCCCGGGGCTCTTTCTCTTTCACACACACACACCCCGGGTGCTCTCACGCACACCGGGGCTCTCACACACACCCCGGGTGCTGTCACACACACACCGGGGCTCTCTCTTGCACACGCACCGGAGCTCCCACACTCACCGGGGGCTCCCTCACACACACAGCAGGGCTCTCTCCTGCACGCGCACCGGAGCTCTCACACTCACCGGGGGCTCGCACACACACACCGGCTCTCCCCGCTCACCAGCTCCCCCCAAAACGCACCGGTTCCTCTCAGGCACACACCGGTTCCCCTCTCTCTCTCTCTCTCACATCACCTACACAGGCTTCCCTCGCACACAGGCACACACAAAAGCTCCTCTCACTCACACGCGCACGCTCAGAGGTTCCCTTAAAACACGCACACAGAATCTCCCCTCTCACTTTCTCTCTCCCCCACACACAGAGATTCACACACACACACACATTCACTCACACACAGAGATTCACTCCCGTGCCATGCACAGACAGGGGATCCCCTCGCACACACAAACAGAAAGTCCCATCTCAGTTTCTCTCTCTCTCACACACAGAGGTTCCCCTCACCCCCCCGCACACAGACCGGCTCCTCTCACCCCCCAGCTCCCTCCATTCCCACACAGCAGCCCGTTCTCTCTCCCCCTCACACACGCACACAGCCCCAGGCAGGTCACACACACACAGTTTGCCCGGTGTCAACCATGGAAACCCACACAGCCCCGGGCAGGTCACACACACACAGTTTGCCCGGTGTCAGCCATGGAAACCCACACACACAGTTTGTCCAGTGTCAGCCATGGAAACCCACACACACAGTTTGCCCGGTGTCAGCCATGGAAACCCACACACACAGTTTGCCCGGTGTCAGCCATGGAAACCCACACCTCCCCTCCCTGCAGGCAGCAGCAGGACCGTGACCTCCATCCCTGCTCCCTTCTCCCGGCCCGGCACAGCCACCTCCCTGTCACAAAGCACGGGGAACCTGCCCCTCGCTGCTCCCGGCCGCCTTCACCACACACTCTTCCTGCACCCACCCGAGAATCGTTATTCCTGCACCACAACAAGCAAAGTGCAGCCCTGTGCTCTCCCCCGCACACCTTTCCCCTTCCTGCCGCTCTCAAAGGCAGCCGCAGACATGTGAGCGCTGAACCGCCTGCATCTCTCAGCACCACAGGATGTCCTGCCGCTGTGCCATGGATCTTTATGTATCAATGTAAATATATGCAGTAGTTCTTATTTCAATAGAAAATCCTCAACAAAAAGTGTAGGAAACATCCACCAAGTCTCTTTCTCTCATTAGGGCATTCAGCGCACACACAACAGACTTTTACCTTGGTTTTATGTCATCAAGTATTCCATAAAATAATAGACCTGTCCATCTTCCCTTACTCAAATTACACACGAAATATTCCCAACTCCCTGGATACAGAAACATCTGCCCATGGCATCCTCTCATATTAAAACACTCAGAAAAATCATGACTATGCCAACATAAAACCACAATATATACATAAAATAAAGAAACCAAGTATTAGTCATATTGTTTTTATTAAATGCTATTCCTGTGGTTACAAATTTACACATATGGGACATAAATGCATGTTAAAAGTTCTACCCCAGTATATCTACGCACTCATCTGTGTAAGCATGTGCAAGATGTTTTATTTCACAAGAATGAAAGCCAGCTAATTAACTCAGATTAAGTGCTGATGGGAAAAGTGTGCATGGACACTTAGCACGGAACAGAAATAACTCACTACGTACTATCTTAATTTAAAAGCCTCAGTTTCTGGGTGCAACTTGGCAGAACTGGAATGTCCATGGCATTTCACCAAATAACCAATGACAGGGATGGCCCCGCTTTTCTCTAAACTTAGAGAATCACACCAGATGCCCTAGAAACTGCTGCCATATGCCCTTGCTTCATGGATTTTATTTTGTGAGCAACTACTTCCAAATTTGATCTGAAAGCCAATGAAATATAAAGATTTTTAATTTTCCACCTATTCTGCACATGTTGCAAATCTCTTCTTCCTCTTCAGAGGGAATAGATTTTTCTTGCCTTAATCAGTTTATGCCAAAGCATGAGGAGCACCAAGAAACATTTTGTACTCTTGTTAAGGGTTCTATCAAGAAACATGAAATGTGTTTATTTCCATTCCTTTTGTGATATGTGCTATTACAAAAACAGCCACCAAAACTGGAGGATCTGAAGAGGACACAACTTGGATTACATCAGGTTGGGGAAATCTGCGTATTTTGCTGTTCCTTAAAATCTCACAGACCTGCTGAATCATTTTGGATTCCAGTTTCTTTCCTGCCACTGACTCTGGACCAGATTCATTCATAGAAACACTGATGAGTGTGCCAGGCTCGTGTCAGGCCCCAGGGAAGAGCCAAATGGCACCAGTCACAGCACTACAGGATCACAGTAGGATTGCTTTACTGATTCTCTTTGTAAAGCATCTATTTCACATCAAACCTAGCAATTACTTGTACATCATGACTAGACACATTAGGCAAAGAAAAACTCCATTATGTGTGCCCAGACATCCTGCTAAACCCTTAAAATATCCTCGCCCTACTGTATGTAACACACAACTCCTTTTACTGCTGCAGTTTGGACACACAGCACTTACACAGCGCTTTTATTACATTCACCTTCAATGTCAGGCTTTGTCACCCTGGCCAGGCCACTCTTACAGCGATACTACAGGGGCATGGCGTGTTCCACGCCCAGACACCTTTGGCATGAGCTGTTGTGACACCAGCTCCTCTTGCTGGGAGGTTTTTCTTTGCCTGAACACTCATTTTTTCTACTCTGGGTTAAGGTCCTGTGGGTGATACAGGAACCCATCCCTCCTTTGTAAATAACTGGAGGAAAGACGTCTGCCACCTCTTCCTGAGTGAGCACATTCTCCCAGCAGCTCATGGCTTGCTCTTCTGCCCAGGGGAGTGTTTGCAATTTGCTTCTGGTTCAGGCCATCTGGACGAGGAGTCAGCATTTTCACTGTTTGTGTTCAGGCATATACATGGCCATTCAATCAGAGCACCAGCTTTTCCAATCTCCTGGCCAGCAGCTTCAGAACTCCTGACTCCAAAGTGCCATTTATGGGGTCTTCTCATAGCAAATTTACTCCTGTATGGCTGTTTGGATGATATCCTAGAGACTGTCCCTGATAGAAGTTCCTATTGGATGATTTAAGAATTTTTTTTCTCTATATAATTTGATTATTGCTGTAACAAGCACAACTTCTGAAGTTCTCTCTATATTTCCATCAATACCACCCTAGGTCTGTAAGTGCATCTGGGTTCATTTTGAAAAAGGTTTCTCCTGAAATGTCTTTGCTTTTACTCATCTGCTGGAACAGCAATCCACAGTCTGCATCACTTTTTAATCAAAAAGCAATAAAAAAGGAAACATGTATCAGGCTCTGTTCTGCCTCACATCCATTCAGAGGGAGCCAAGGAGAACACCTCCATCAACTGTTTTGGCAACTGTGGCTGTTTTATTATTTCCTGCTTCTGAGAAATACTCAGCCAACAGGAATCACTTCCTGCTGGAGGCCTATAAGGAAGTTCACAAGCCAATTCCTCCTCACATTTCAAAGCAAATCACAACTGCTTCCCTCTCCAGAGAGTCAGGGGGACAAGTGTACATTCTCCAAAGCCCTTTTAGCAAGGATGATCTGATCATTGCAACACTGCTGCCTACAAATAATTTGCTTCACCCAATCTCATCTTCCAAAGGAATTTCCACAGGGCCAGCTCATGAGACATCTCCACCAGCAAATATTGTGGGATAATTACTTGTCATAATTAGGTCAAAATCAGTTACCAGTTTCCATTAATTCATAGACTTCTTACTATAAACTAAAGAGCCAGGTTTTCCTAATTTATTTTTTCCATGCAGTATAAACTTTGTTTCTCTCTTTGTCTGAAATCACCCATCAAGTTTAATGTTGAAGCTCCCATTCTTAAGTTTGTCACATGTTAACCAGTCCTGGTTTTCTACAACAAATTCATTCACAAAAAAAAAAAAAAAAAAACCAAAAAAACAAACCAAAACCACCACCACCAACAAAAAGCCTGTTTATTGTTCTTATCCCTGTTTTGGCAACAATATACCTTAAATCCTTCCAAAAAAATTGAAAAAGGTAGGCTGTGGTAACATAAACAGATATATTTCTGTAAGAATCTGTCTGTCTTTTATCCCAGTGGGGAGGAGATGGAAATAATTTTCTCTAAGCGTGGGTTTCTGCATCTTTCTGTGTCTTTTAGCATTTGTGTTTAGAGTCCCCACAACTTTTTCCCTGTCTTTGCAGTTACACTGGTCCTCCTCTCTGCCCCTTTCCCCTCAGAGTTCCTCAGAGTGCAGGTTGGGAAGCCCTGGGTCACAAGACAAGTTTTATTATTAAATTATTCCATGTGACAGACAGCTTGTTTACACAGGCCAGTACTGCATTAAAACACAGTCAAAAAGAACACCAAGTACAGGGAGAAAAAAAGTCCTGTGAGAGATGAAATGTCACAGAAAGAGTATTTCTGAAAAAATTCTGGGGAAAAGAAAATGGGTATCTTATAATAATTAATAATTTCCCAGGGATGAAACTGCAGTCCATCGATATGTCCTAATCAGGAAAATCCTCCTTCCCATTGTGACAGATAAATGATGCCATTTTTTCAACTTGAGTTTCCTTGAAAGCCTTGCAAAAGCCATTCCTCATGCAAATAG